TGTTTCAGATAATGTATATACAGCAAAATACACTACTTTAATAAGTACATCAAAGATATTTGTTGTAATCTTCTTTAAATGAGGTTCAAGGCTGATTTTTGAGTTTGTGATTTTATTAATTTTACAAGAGCATATAAGAAGGAAGTTGGTTTCATTTAGAACGGATTTCTTGGCTAGAAACCATTCCGTAAAATTGATCGTTTCTTTTTATACATCAAGACTTTTGTTGGCAAGTGAAATGTTAGTCATTTGAAAATAGCCAAAACTAAAGAGTCTGGGAAGAGTTAATAATGTCATTCATATGAAGTAGAAACAGTAGTGGCGCAAGTACAATGCTTTGTGGAACACCAATTGATAGCTATTTGCATTTATACTATTTATACTGCTTTAGTTCTGTCGTATAAAGTCGACGTAAATCACGAATGTGCAATTCCTCTCAAACCATAATGCTCTAACGAAGACCAAAGGTCCTGCCTAATTTTGTTACTGAAAAAACGTGCCAAAATCCATTTTCTCTACACAACAATTATTTAATTGGATCATTTTATCACCCGTCTCACATTATAAGGACACAAAGCTCATCAGTAAGGCCTTGCTGATGTCCATGTCTTTCCAAAGCAAACAACCACAAATCTTTAAATGTGTCTGAAAACAATTATCATCCTCTATTTAAACGAAAAGGTATCTTCTTTGACAGTACGCATGAGTGAACTTCTATAAACGGCCTACTATAAAACGTATGTATAGACACAAGATTAAGCATTGACATGAACACTGGTCATTGGTTATAATGGACATTCATTGGAAATATAGTTATAAAAACCTAGCTTGCATAGAAGAAATTCAAAAAACATGTTGCAGACAAAAATGAGACTTTATATGAACATGGATTTAAACACAAGACCTATTACACTATTTTACATGCTCTGCGTCGCAACTTTAATCAAGTCATTGTATAAAAGATTTAACTTGACTAATCCTTGTCGTATTTTTCTGAAATATACTCATTACTTAAAAGAAAACCAGCTCAGAATTGGCCCTAAAAGTTCTTGAAGGTTTCTTAAATACAAATTTCTAACGTTCCACATTTTGAAAATACAAAAACGAGATAACACAAAGAACGCCTTATTGGTCACAAGGAGATCTTCCTTTTTCATTTACGTCGACTAACAAGGAAATAGGTGTCTAATCGTGAAGAGAATCATTTCCACCCCATTTTTAAATGAATAGGTGATCAGTAATTTTGTATCTTAATACTTTAGTAATCCTAGAGCTCGAAATCTTTTAGATGATTTTTTGAAAATGGCTTTGAAAAAAGCAAAAATTTTACAAAATATTAACTAAAAGCCCTTATTGCTTTATTAAAAGTTGATTTTGATATGAGACAAAAGGGGTGTCGTACTGAAAATAAAACTTGATTCTTTGAATTCTTGTCTAAAGCATTATAATGGCAAATTATGACCTAAAGTTTTAGTTGCACGATAGCGAAACTTTTTCTTATATCCTTAAGATGAATAACATTTTTCGTAAAGAGCTGGAGATACTTTTAATGTTTCAGAGCAACGACGAAATTGTTTTAGTGAAAAACATTCCATGAATTATATTTTTTGTTTTTGCATGCCTTAAATCTACCAAACCGCTCTGGATTCATAGGTCTCTCTCAAAGACCGAGCAAAATGGCTTAAAATGCACATTTTCTTTGTAATACCTCCTTATACTGGAAAACACCCTCGTAACCTAGAAAATCAAGCATTGGCTTGGCCTGGATCATACTGTGGTCCAAGTGGAAAAAAGTACAGATTGCGGAGCAATGATATTATCTTTAGATAGACATTGCTCGAAAATTTTCATATATAATTCTAGTTGCAGAATTATCATTGGTAATTGTTGGGGAGACGAACCAGAAGAGACAATTTTCAAATGTACGGGGTAACCCAATGTCCTAGGGTCAGAACGCATGCGTAATAATGACTTCGTTTCATGGACATGTTCTTTGACTCCAGAACGGAGGGTTGCCTAAATGTCCTGGAGGGTTGCCTCAATGTATGGGGCAACCCAATGTCCTGGAGGCAGAACGCATGCGTAATAATGACTTCGTTTCATGCACATGCTCTTTGGCTCCAGAACGGAGGGTTGCCTAAATGTCCTGGAGGGTTGTCTCAATGTATGGGGCAACCCAATGTCCTGGAGGCAGAACGCACGCGTAATAATGACTTCGTTCCATGCACATGTTCTTTGACTCCAGAACGGAGGGTTGCCTCACTCAATAAAAGACTCCTTTATTCGTATCCCCAGCAAGTAATGCTACAGAGCTAGAAACTATTTCTCGATCTTGAAAGAAAACCAAAAGGGCGAAATATCGACCGTTATAGCTACATATTTTTACTGACACATTTAACAATGAAAACTCAGACCACCTTGACCGAGAGCATAAGCCTTGACTTGACACTTATGTCGGTTACAGTTTCAATGTTGCCTCGTGACCTTTTCTGTGTCTTTCTAGATAGATGCGAGCAGTAAGGGAGTGTGCAAGTCCGGCCTAAAATACATAGACCCGAAAATTTCACTTCGACCCAAACGAAATATATCAGAGGTTTGTATCAGACTCGGAATATTGAAAACTGTTCCATGTAGACCTAATAAGTTTTTAAAATATCATTGGACAAGTATTGTGAAACCATGATTGAGTTGGACACCTTGTCTTGTGTCAGCCTTTCAGAATTAAAGAAAAAAGCCAATTTTGGTAGAAACACTTTTTGATTTTAACATCTTACAAAAATGATCAATGTTAAAAAAAATTGCTATTTGTAACACGTTTTGCACTAGCGGACGGCAAATGGCTTCTCAAACAGATTTTATATAAAATACATCAAAGATTTTAAAAAGGCCTGGTAAGCATAAAACATTAGGGTGCATATCCCTTCCCTTCCTAGTCATCCTCGCTTACTTTTCGCCTTTGATTTGAACTTATGCAAAAAGGATGGCTTGTGAGGGCACAAGGGAGCATTTTAATAGTTACCCTATGCTATCGCATATAAGTTACTTTGCAGGGTTTTAACAAAACATTTATCAAATTAATTTACAGTATACCACTTCCAGGTCCGTCGCAACAGAGTGCATTGCAAAACAAGGAGTTTTTTGCCACCTAAGGGTGCTTAGTCGTCAAATTTCTAAACTTGTCGGCATAAAGGACGGCTCACCCACTTTGTCGGCAAATGAGACTTGGAAACCCCCTTAAGCACAATATCTAGCGACGGGCCTGACCACTTCAGCAGTGGCGGACACCTGGGGGCGAGGGGGTTATCGCCCCCCCAATACTTTGGAGGACAATGGTCTTTTGTTCTAAAACAATTGCAAAACGTGATGTCATATTATCAAAACTATAGGCTTGCTACCCCCCCCCCCCAATAACCAAGTGTCCGCCCCTGCATCTCAGTCACAGGGAATTTCGAACTGCATAGTGTTCGAAATGTGGCTGGTAAGTTATCAACTCACTTTGATTACGATGAGTTGAGAAGTTCTCTCTATAGTATGATTTTTTGATGTTCTATAAAGATTGATAAAATTTCAGGATCGCTAGATGCTAAATTCTTCAGAATTTTGACTCAAATCTAAGTCATAAACACAGTTTCCTGAGTATCGACGATATCGTTATAAAAACGTAGTGGAATCGTCAGAAATTAGCGGCTCTTAACTAAAGGGAGCCTTGCCCTGTAGTTAATGTCACGATGTTTTCACAATAGACCTTAAAGTTATCATTTTGTAATATCAAAGGTATTTCCTTGATAAGCCTATTAGAGAGGAGGATTTAGCTCCGAAAGTAGCCAAAATTACCAATTCAGTTTGTAAACTTCCGTTTATGCTGGAAATTTTACGAACGCCGAGGTTTAAAGCTGTGGTTTCATTGACCCAGCCAGAGTGGCCAACATGATGCAGATGATCGGCATTTTGTGAAAACTTCAAAAACAAGATCTAGAAGTCTTGGCTATGCTGTACTCCGGTAACAATGATAACAGTTTCATTCCAAGAACAGAGAGGGCGTCTACTTTCTTTCTGACGATGGGAGTTTTTATTGTGCGGTTTGGTAACTGTATGCTGAGGGAATCCCCGGAAACCTATTATGATACAGGAAGTGGCAGCTAACAATGTCATTAAGCACTGCACATCACGAAATATGAAAGCAAGTAATCAGAATAGGCCCTTGTCGGATAAGCAGAGGGTCGATCACTAAACTTAATAGTACTGGTACTAAGCCTTTGTTACAGAATGCCTCCAAGGCAAGTTTTTGGACGTCAAAGTTAAGATCATTGCAGCCTGGCGATTTTGTTCTCGATGCAAGATTTTTACGATGTTTATAGCCCTTAATCTTACGGTTTCCTCATGGCGACATTCAAGCATGTTTGATGCGAATAATCCTGCACCGCGAACTCAAACCCTAGTAATAAGCACTCGACAATCATATGGGTTGACCCGGTGACCCTCCGCATCTACCCACAGTTGATCTGTTTTGGGTATCCTTACAGAATTCTTGAAGTGCTCCGATATATTCTAATGCTTTTAACATCCAACCAAAATAGGCTAATTTGTCAGTGACGATGTCAGCCATTCTCACGTTTCATACTCATAGGAACCGTCCTAGCGATGTGTTATATTGACACTAGTCTTCTACGAAAACTACATTATCCTTATATTCAACAGTATACATTGGTAAAGAAAAATAATCTTTACTTGACTACCGAGATGACTGAGGCCTTTGTACCTCCCTCGGGGGTTCCTCTTAGGACATGTTTGATACAAGACATCGTCGTTCATAAACGAGTGCATGGCCTAGGTAATTGAATCGATTTACTATGTAAACATTTCTTACGGCGTGTCATTGGTCTAAGATTAGTTCTGAAACTTGCTCTCAGTCAAATTAACCTCAACAGTATCTGTTTAATATAACCTATCACAGATCGGTTGAAAGTAAATAAACAATGTATGTTATTGTGAGTACATACCGTATGCAGTGTGTCCAGAAATAACAGCCAATATGAACAAATTGCCGAGAAAGAACAGCCAAGAAACTGTGTGAAATTTCTCCATCCTTTCGAACGTAGGCAGTAGCTACCGTGTTACAAGCACAGCAACTTGCCAGGCACGTTCCAATGGAAATATAGCGATTTAACCAGCCTCCGAACAAACTTAAAGGTCAACGAAACCTTCAGGCTTTTTCAAGCATGTTTATTCGGCTCCTGTGCATTCATCTATGGAGAAACACTCAAAACATATAAACGCGATACTTGGCCGTTTTATAAAAAGGCTAAATGCCTGGAGGAAAAATCTTGAGCAAGGCTTGATCTCCTGGGTAACGTGCTCGAGTCCAACCCTGAGAAGGAGACCGGACGTGAAAAGGGAAGGGAGCAGTTTGAACACAATGTGATCGCATGGTTGGATATCAGCGGCGAAGGTCTTTCCTTTTGTATTATTTGCGGAGATTCACTGTAACTTTCAGCCTTTAGAATAAAAGCTAACTGTATAGGTTAGTTTTGCATACATTAGATCCGTTCGAAATGAAAGTGCTTTTTGGGAGGGCACACTTTATATTGGTTCCTTCAGCAAAATAGCTTTTACAGAGAACACGTCTGCTACCACATAGCATTTGGGAAATTAAAAACCTGTCATGTTTTATCTCAGATATATGTCATTTGTCCAATTTGAGGAGATCGTCGATCGTTTCTTGACGCTCACATAGGAACATGAATTGGGGGCAAATCATCGGCAAGACTTCATTTTCTACCTGGGAAACGTTTAGAAAATTGATCCAATCTTCCCTATCAATAGCAAACCCGGTCTTCCCTATCAATTTTTGGGGAGTACCTACGGCAGGTAGTTGCTAACGAGTTGCTAACTTCTCTTTTCATAGAGGACATCTCTCTCGTCCTAGATGGAATTAATTTTGTTGGTTACGTCAAAAAGCCCCGATGGATGTAAGCTGAGTCAGAATTAGAAGTTTGTATTTCTACAGATTTTCAACATCGAGGACATTTGCCTTTACAGTGCTATCAGAACGAAATTCATATTGGAGGCTACCCATTTTATTCCTTCTTATTCAGTACACTGTTATAAAGGAAATAGGAACTACAGTTTGACATTTACTACAGTTTGGCTCCAGCCCCCAACAGCCTCCCACCCCACCCCCGGTACGAGCCTGCTTTCACAGGGCAACAAGAATATCCTTGTAAATTGTAAGTGTCCTTTAAACCTGAGCTGTTTAGTCTTGATGCCAATGTTCTTAAATGCAGGTTTAATGGGAAATTTCAGGCTTTATCGACCTGTCAAGCAACCAGAAAAGGTGCTACATCATTCCATCCAGTTCAAGATTGTTGCAGGTATTGGTTTAGGCCAACTTTTGTACATTCAACAAAGCACAATTAGGCCCGTAAGATAAAACATTGAAATAGCTATATTTTTTAGCCTTCGAATCTTTGCCAAAAACCAAAATGCTATAAGAAAGTAACACACCTGTTTACGTTTTCACTAGCTCTTGCGGATCCTCCATTTTTTCTCTGGCTACTTTGATAGAAAATTCACCTTTGAAATTTACCGCCCTTTGAAATTTCCTCGTTCCTGCTCCGTAACCCCAAAAAGAGGCTATATTCAAGTCTACAAAGTAAATTGTTTAACCATACAAATCATAGTAGTAAGTAGTCAGTTCCAATGAAAATTTAGATGTAAATACTGCAATAGTGTATAACCAATAAAAATGCTCAATTTTATGTTTTAAAAAAATGAAAAGTCTCTTGCAGTGATTGACGTTCTTCATTAAAAATACTTGTTTCATTTTAGCTTTCTCGTTGATGAAAAATAAATCTAGCTCAGTCATATTTTGAAATCGCCTTGTTTTGTCGTTCATGCGTATCTGAATCGCTATTTAAGCCATTTTTAATGAAGCTTTGGATAAGATTTCCTTGTGAAGTAATCCTTTGCATTAATGATAATTCACTTTTGAAGAAGTCAGGATCAAATTTCCGTCCTTTTAATTGCGATACTGAGGATTCTATCTTCGAGTTCTTGAAAGGCTTTGAAATGGTATATGACAAAATAGGTGACAAGCAAAACCAGCTCATATCTGTATTGTTTGCTACACGCTATTGAACAATGCTTCAGTGATGCATGCTTTGTATTACACCAATTCATAACAGAGAATAATATTTTCTGTAGGAGAAGGAACAAGGTTTAGGAGAAAGAACATTTAGCAAACTTAAGGCAAAGGATAGGTCTTTCTCAGAGGTCTCAATAACTTTTTCATAACTGCACAAACTTCATGAAATGTCTTTTGAGCATCAATTAACATCGTTTGATTTCTAGATACAGGTCATTGATTTTTTGTTACAAAGTAAATCTTTTAACTCAGATTTCTTGAATTCTGTTTATTTCTGTTATCGTATCTTCAGATTTAATGGTACATTTTAGCCTGAATTTCAGACGGTAATTTGCTAGTCCCCCAAACAAAGGTGTATGATGGTAATGTTTTCTGCAGTAAATTTCTTTAACATTCTATGTTGAAGTCACACACATCTTACAATGTACTTTTTGTTGCCTCCTCTTTTAAATTTCATTTTTTGTACAGCTTGCCAAAAAATAAATAAATAATAACAAGCGCATCTGCTCCTTAATCTTACTTGAATTTGAATGATTTGTTGTCATGCATGCACATTACTGCAATCCAGAACAAAAGTGGAAAAATCTCAACTCAGTCTTTGTATATTTTTCTAGCCTTTTCGTATGCACTATTTTTCCGAAGTAAACGCAATTCAATTAATTGATTCGCTCATTGGAAGAATCAAATCATTTCCTCCCCTTTTCGAATAATACAAAATCTGTTCTCTTTGAGCTGTTTTTCTATTTGCAACCTCTCTTCTTTTCTTTGCAGTGTCCAATTTCTAATCCAGAACTCTTCCATCTTTCAGCATATAGCTATTTGACAATAATTTTCTACGTTTGTACCACGTTTCGCAAATATATACCAAATCCAGACGAAGATTGGCATATAAAGTTACGTTCTGTTATCAAATGCCGCTCGAAAATCTCTGTATACCTGAGAGACACTAGAAATGACTGCAATAAATGCATGAATTTCTTTACAACTGAGCTTGGACGCCAGTCTGAAATCCCAATCATCTGATCCATTTCTACCATTTTGAGTTTGATGAGTGCAGTTCAAGCATACAAACCTGAAGGTTTTAATGCTTGCTTTTGTGACGAGGCCTGGATGTTGCCTCCAAAAACTTTCTTTGGCAATTCACTTCACGTTTCTCAGAGAGACTTTGAAAAAACCTTTTGCCGCAATCGAGCTTCCTTTTTACTCTCCCCTTCCCTAGATGCAGTGCCCTACATTCCAGTGCTAAATGCAGTACCGACAGGCTCCAGTTAACCCTCCCTCTTGTGCATCAGCAAATATTCTTAACAACAGCAACTGTAAATAAGTCACTAACATATGCTTTTGAATGCTAAACATAAATGAACAAAACACTGACAACAGATAGTTGTTGTAGCAGATAGACTGACCACACTGCATTTGAACTCAAGACCTTCACAATGAAAGCTATTGCAATTGATATACTTAACTTTTTTAAATGACAGGGGGCATTAAAAAAAAGATCGTATATTGTTGGTTGTGAATCAACAAGATCTGTAAATCAATGTTTATATTTGGCAATATCTTTAGTCTAAAATTTATGTATTGAACCGGACGAAAAGGCTATACCTGACAGAGTTGACACTTTCAATGAAAGTTAACATAAAGCTAAAATCTAGTTAAATCGAAATAAAATTTAACTTTAATGTCCACATTGTAGATTTAATGTCCATATAAAAAGTAGATTTTCGTCATAGGGTTTGAAGCTATTTAGCTCTTAAGTCAGACCACTTAAAATAGCAGATTGTTTTCACGTTTCTTTGAGTAAAAGTACCGCATTGTCAAAAACCAGTCAAAACTACTTTAGTGGTTTGAAGGCTTTGACAGGGCTAAAACAGTCAATTCTATTATGTCAGATATTAAAGTTCTGGCATGGTTTTCGCTAGCAATGACTGTATGTTTACAGTCAGATAAATTTTACAGAAAGTTTTGTTATAAAAATGACTTTAAGTGAGAGATGACTATTTAAGCAAGAAATATGCTAAGTCTTAACAAAGATTGGTATATATACAATTAATACGTTGAACTGATAGACCTGGACTGTTCAGCCATGTCTGATAACAACAAATATTTGTTGGCCGATGGGGAATTCCATTTTATCAACTAGTCGTATTCTATTGGGTATCAACATCATGGTACCTGATTGGCTATCTACTTCTGGCCGGTAGCTAACATTTCCCCTTTGTTTCCTAAACGATTCCACTTCCCCTTGTGAAAAACTATATTTTCATACATCAGTAAACTTTTTACAACATGTGGATTCTCCAGTATTCACAATCACAGAAAATGGTATTAAATATGATTGGCAGAAAATAGAAGGGTTTGAAAGGAAATGATACTTACTCTTAGGGCTTTCGAATAATTCCTTATCCAAGTTAGATTGGACGTAATGCAGTTAGTTCCGCAGATAACAGGTTCTCTTAAACGAAAATTATTTGCTGCGATCTGCGCACTCAACTCTCAGTGGAAAGCACGATAATATTTCCCTGTATCAATATACAGGCCGCCTTTGAATACAAAAAGAAGGTGCATAGGCGTACGGGGTGAGTTCAGGTAGGGGGGCTGAAATTTTTTGCCCGAAAAATAATAATGCCCGAATTTTTATGGAGTATACTCTAACACATGTGAGCTTTTAATACTAGTCAAAAAGATTTAAATGCAACGTAATTAAAATAATGTTAACTAATAAGCATTTTTCAAACTTCACACATTCTCAGCAATTTGTACACTTTTTGCTTACCTGCCTATTCTTGTGATCATTGAACAGTTTATGTTTAATTTCAGGGTGGTCAGAAACTCATAATCTATTTGTAGAAAAGAAAACCTTTATGGTGATTTCTATCTAAGAGATAGCATTCACGTTTGCGTTCCTTTATCACGGGCCAGTGCCATAAAGCAGTTTAGGGCACCTTGATTCAGCGTTTTTCAACCTTTTCTATCCACTGTACATTTTTTGCGGATAGTTATTATTTTTTTTAATTTTATAAACCAATTCAGTGAAATTGGAGACTTTTCCATGGCACACTAGGCTATACCTCAAGGCACGCTGGTATGTTGTGACACAGTGGTTGAAAACATTGCCTTAGTATGATAACCAAGGGCCCTGACCAAAAGGGTGCTTTTACGTCCAGACCTTTAAAGCTTTTCTCAAGTTCAAATAACTTTTGAAAACTTTGAAAGCTCTTCAACTGAAGCTCTAAAACTCAGTTCTCCCTAT